TATGTTTATCGCAGTGTTGTTCACAATAGCAAGAACCTGGAAACAATCATGCTGCCCATCAAAAGAGGACTGGATTAAAAAAATGTGGTACATATCCACTATGGAATACTAATTTGATTTTCTTATACTTTTTAATAAATTTTGTCAATAATAGTTAAAAAATCAACATAAGTTAAATATCTAATGTAATTTATAACTATACATATTTATTTGCTTAGCTATCATGAGTATAGATAAAGCATCTTTTAATTGTAATTTAAAAAAAAAAATTCAGAGCAAGGCAAAGGTGGCTACTTTTACCAGTTATATTCAGCTTAGTATCAGAAGCCCTAGACAGAGCAATTAGGTTAGAAAAAGAAAGAAGTGGTATCCAATTTGGAAAGAAAGAAGTAAAATTGTATTTGTTTAGAAATTATATAGTCTTGTATATAGAAAACCCTAAATATTCTATATGTATATACATGCACTCACAAACATGTTTTAGAATTCATAAGCAAATTCCACAAAGTATCAGGATACAAAAAATTTGCTTTTATATACACTCAAAACAAAAAACCAAATGGAAAATCAAGAAAAAAGTTCAATTTACAATAGCATCAAAAACATAAAATACTTAGATATGAACTTAACCAAGGAGTTTAAAAATTAGTATAATGAAAACTGCAAGACATTTTAGAAAGAAATTAATAAAAACATAGCTAAATTTGAAGGCATCTCATATCCATGGACTAGAAGACCTATTTTGTTAGAATGTCAGTACTCACTCAAACAATTTACAAATTGAATGTAATTCTTATCAAAATCCCAATGATATTTTCTGTAAAAATAGAAAAAACATCCTAAAATTATAGGAATGTTCAAGGGAGCCCAAATAACCAAAGCAAAATTAAAAAAAATAATAATAATAACATAGCTGAGAACTCATTCTTCCTGATTTCAAACTTAATACAAAGCTGTAGTAATCAAAACAGAGTGATACTGGCATAATGACAATAGATAATTCAAAAATAAACCATAATTTATTTAACCAAATGATTTTTAAGATAGGTGCTATGACCATTCAATGGGCAAATGACAGTATTTTGACAAATAATGGTAGGGAAACTGTAGATTTACATATAAAAGAATGAAGTTGAACCTTACTTAATATCATGTTAAAAATTAATAGTGAATTTATGACCTAATTTTAAAAACTTATAGTATAAAACTCTTAAAAGAAGGTATAGGACCAAAGCTTCATAGCACTAGATTGTTTTAATATGACCTCAAAAGCACAGGAAACCAAAGGTAAAAAAAAAAAAACCAAGCAAAAACAGACACTTTGGACTTCAAGAATTTTTTTTTTAATGAAGCATCAAATGCACAATACAAGGGGATCTCCTAAGAAATGAAATGTTCAGTTAAAAAAATGTGTATTTATTCCCTTTACATCCATTGTTTTAGTTCATTTTTAATCTTTTTCACTATTTTATTTTATTATACAGATGTAGGGCACAAGTAGGGATTAATTACACAAATAGGCTGCATGCAGGTGAAGTTTTAGCCTCCAATTGACCCTCAATTCCCCTGGTCAAAGCACAGGTACCCTTTGTATTTATTCTAACATGTTTAAACTTGTCGTCTTCAATGTACTCTCCATTTGATGCAATACATCCATTAAGATGCTTTTCCACTGCTCAAAGTAGTTTTTTAACTCATCAATTTTGATGTCTTTTAGTGCTTCTGCCATTTTTTGTTTCACCTCTTCCACTTTGGTGAAA